CTGCTGGGCGTGGCCAACTCAGAAGCAACCCGGAACTCCGTTCCTGTGCTTTCCTGCCCAAAAATAGCCCTGCCCTGCCACAAATTTTGTTAGTCTTTAAGGTGCTACCGGACTCTTGCTCCTCCTTGGAGAGGTTCTTAGTTTCATTCTTAAAAACCAGTCCCGACATTCCTCACGTGCTTTACATTTCCAGCGCCAGGGAGCATACCTTTTTAGTCCATCGTTTCACCCCGTTATATCCTTTGGTTACCAGCTGTCTATGAAAAAAGCTGTTGAAGAAATGAACCTGTGAAGACAAGGCGAGAAGTGACTGCGCTGATCAAACGGGGCAGAAAGGGACTCAGACACACAACGCGTGCCGTCAATACTGAGCGGCATCCGGGAAGAATACCTGTGTTAGAGTCTCGTACAATAATTTTATGGTAGCGTGTGCTTTTCCCACTGCTTCAGCTGGATGATGCGCTTTCCTCAGTTTCCTACGGAGCCCAATATCATCCCTCCCTCCCTCCCCCAAGGAGCTCCGAGGGTTGAACAATGGCCCTCTCTCCTCCATTTCATCCTTGCAGTGAGCGGGGTAAGGCAGATGAACAGCTGCTCGGCAAACTTCATGGCTGAGTGAGGGTTTAACTCAGGCTGCTCACGGTCCTCATTCAACACGCTGAACGCTACAGCATGATAGCCCTGCATACTGGCAGACACGCCTGGACGCTAAAGGAAGACCTGGGAGACCCAGGGTCGAATCCCCACGTGTGCCGTCAAAACTCACTGGGTGACCTGGGGCTAGTAGTCACATTTTCTCGGCCTGAACTACCACACAGGGTTGCTGTGAGGATGATACGGAGGGGAGGGGAATGACGTAAGCTGCTTTGGGGGCCTCCACTGGGGAGAAAGGCGGGGGTATACATCCATTAATCAAATAAAGAATGCATGGAAGTACAAAGAGAGAGAACTCTAAGTAGCGGGGCCGAGCAGCTACGAGTGCGTGAGGTTGGCTGCATTTCTATTTAGCTAGATTCAGGTGGGTAACCGTTTTGGTCTGAAGCAACAGATCAAAGTCTGAATCCAGGGGCACCTTTAAGATCAGCAGCGTTTCATTCTGGGTACGAAGCTTTCATGTCCACGCACGCTCCTTCAGACACGAAAACGTATACCGAGAATTAAATTTTGTTGGGTCTTAAAGGCGCCACTGGACTCAAACTTTTGTTGTATTTCTATTTGACGTTCGAGGCCGCTTACCACAGCACGCTGATACCCTAAGCCGATCGGTATGGGAGAGAAATCCACGGTCCCGATTCAAATTTAATGACTTGTTATTTATTTATTTTATTTTATTTTTTTCATATTTATACCCCGCCCTCCCCTGTGGGCTCAGGGCGGCTTACAGAGGCAAGGCAAAACCTTGCCATGATAAAACATAATATACATAATAATTTAAAAACATACAGTACATCTTAAAAATCCTAATTTAAACAAAGTGCTCAGTGTCGTCATAGTCCAAAGATGACGGAACGTAGGCCCAAAGTTCCTGGTAGACGGTTTAAGGCTTCTTTCATGTTCAGATGTTTCCTCAGGGCCTCATCCAACCCACAGCGGTGGTGATATAGTGGGGGTGGCGGCTCCTACTCAAAAGCCTGGCGGAAGAGCTCCGTCTTGCAGGCCCTGAGGAACTGCATAAGATCCCGCAGGGCCCGGATCTCCCCCGGGAGCTCGTTCCACCAGGTAGGAGCCGCCACCGAAAAAGCCCTGGCCCTAGTAGCGGCCAGTTTGGTATCCCTGGGGCCCGGGATAGCTAGCAAATTTTGGGCCCCGGACCGTAGTGCTCTTGGGGGAACATACGGGGAAAGGCGGTCCCTCAGGTAGGTTGGACCCCGGCCATGTAGGGCTTTATAGTTATCTTGGCTGCGCGGCTCAAGCATAGACCTGGGGAGGGGGTTCCCTAGGGAGATCAGGCGGTTGGCCTGCACAAGCCTCGGAGAATCTGGATTTGGAGCGTGCGAAGTGGGCTTCCCAAGTTGTTCCCATGACTCCTCAGAGTCCCCCGGTTTGTTGTCCATATGATTCTCTCTCACACCCACCCGCATGCTGTGAACTGAGGCTATCACTAGCAGCCTCTGCTCTCACTCACAACAGCCAATGCTACCATGATGGTTTTGTGGCCCCCAAGACCGGGGACTAATCAGATGGCACTGGTTTCCTAGTGCAAGGGAAAGACCACCAGTTAGTGCCACAGACCCATCACCAACGTGGGCAAGAGTGGCTTTTGCTCGCGTCGATGGAGACGTTCTAAACAAACTCGCGCAAGACGAGTCGCGAGCGTTTTGCATCTGTGCAACAGCAACAAGGCAGAGCCAGGTTACGAGTTTCAGCAACAAAAGCAAAACGGTGACGTTGCCATCCACCACATTTCCAAATTCAGAGGACTTCCTTCCATGAACACCGAACTAGAAACAAAAGGTGAAAATGACCCCATGGGCCATTTTACCTCCAGCAAGGCTAAAAGTTCTTAACTCTGTACTTTCCAAAGAAAATAATATTCCCCTGCCCAAGGGGGGGGGGGGAGATAAGGCAAAGAACTGAACATCTGATCCCTTTGTCAGAGCGTGTACATCACGCTCTGACAAAGGGATCAGATTTACCTGACAACAGGTTATTAGTTGTAAGGGGCAGTTCAAAGGCCCCGGAAAACATTATCCAAGAAGCTTGGTCTGCATGCCGGAGTCTAAGAGTCCATTCAAATACAGTGCATTTCATTGAGGTAGAACAATTCTCACGGGACAAGGGTCATCAGCTCAGATTTTACGGATAAGAGTTGATTGTTAGAAAGCACTGTTTGAAGACAAAAAGATCACGGAGGCAGTGGCTGGAAAACTAGAGCCATCCAACAGGGGGTTTGTTGCCACCGGCGACCCTTTCGAACAAAAGGCTTCCAGTATCAAAAGCTTTTTAAAAAATATTATTATTGTTGTTGTTGTTGTTATTAATAAAAATAAAAATAATAAAAAATATTGGTATCCCGCTTTCCCTCGTAGCTCGAGGAAGCTTATAATGCTAGTTAAAATATTTCAGTTTAAAAAACAAAAACAATAGTTAACCCCCAAATCCCTTTCCTTCCTTAAAAGATGCTTGGCAACTAAAACACCCTCCAAAGGCCTGGCCAACAGGCAGGCCTCGCCGCGCCTTCTGAAGATCACTAGGGAGGGCCCCCTCACCTCTTCATTCCACAAAGCCGGAGCCACAGTGGAAAAGACCCAGGCTTGTGTACCCTTAGAAGCTCATAGATTCACAGACCTTGAGCAGCAGAAAACACTTATTTCTTATTTTTTTAGATGCAAGGGCTAAAAGGACTGAGACAAATTTTGCCACTGCTAATGATCTTGGGAGTGCCTTGGACTGCAAGAAGATCAAATCAGTCAATCCTAAAAGAAATTAACCCTGACTGTTCCCTGGAAGGCCAGATAAGGAAACTGACGCTCAAATACTTTGGCCACCCAATGAGAGGGGAGCACTCACTGGAGAAGACCCTGATGCTGGGAAAGACTGAAGGTCAAAGAAGACGGGGACGGCAAAGGATGAGATGGTTAGACAGTGTCATCGATGCAACGGACATGAAATTGAGCCAACTTCAGAGGACGGCAGAAGACAGGAGAGCCTGGTGTGATCTTGTCCATGGGGTCGCGAAGAGTCGGACTCGACTGTGCGACTGAACAACAAAATGATCTTGGGGATCCTTATCACTGGGAGAAAAAGAGCCAGGGTTTCTGGAGTACAGGGGGACGACTGGTTGAATAAAGGTTAAATAAATAGAAATCCCTCATAATCTCCAAAAATCTGCTTTCCAGCAGGGCGTAGAAAGGAGGTATCAATCCTGTTGGGGCCACAAGGGCAAATTCTGTCAGTGTAGGGCCTATTTGAAAACCTCCCTTGCAAAACCATTGTGGGTATAAAGACCCAGGCTCTGGTCGATGCCAGACGGACCACCCTAAATGGTGGGACAGTCAACACATGGCTGCATAACCGTAGTTGTCGCACAGGGGCAGATGGAAGGATATGGCTCTTCAAATATGCGGACCCCAGATCATGAGAAGAAGAGGAGGAGGAGGAGGAGGAGGAGATTGGATTTATACCCCGCCCTTCACTCGGGAGTCTCAGAATGGCTTACAAACTCCTTTCCCTTCCCCTCCCCACAACAGACACCCTGTGAGGCGGGTGGGGCTGAGAGAGCTCTTTTGAGGACTGCTCTGACAAAACTATGGCTTGCCCAAGGTCACAACAGCAGGTGCAAGAGGAGGAGTGGGGAATCAAACCTGGGTTCTCCCAGATTAGAGTCCGCGCACTTAACCACGACACCAAACTGGCTCTCAAGGTCATAATGAGCTTGAGGCTCTTGCGCTTCTCCACCTGAAAACTATGCCATGACAGAGCGCACCTAGGGAAGCCCGTACTCCCCGCCACATTCAATTGCTCGCTACCATAAGCGGTGCCAATGTACTGTTCCCTTCGCTGTGGCACATGCAGCAGTTTGATCATGCCTTGCAGGCCAAAATGAGCCTGGGCTGATCTATAAGGGAGCGCCCTGTGGTTAGGTGAGAAGAATGCATCACCTGGGGCAATGGAGTGACCGGCAGACAGTGGACTGACTTCCGCAGCTATAATTCTTAAAAGCATGTTTCCAATTAAGGAGCGCTCAGATGAAAGGGACTTCAGTGTTCTGAGACCTACACTATTATTTGTCCTCTAAAAAGGTAAAGGTAAAGGTTTCCCTTGCTCGAAAGCCAGTCGAATCCGACTCTAGGGTTGCGGTGCTCATCTCCGTTTCAAAGCCGAAGAGCCAGCGCTGTCCAAAGACGTTTCCGTGGTCATGTGGCCAGCATGACTAAACACCAAGGCGCACGGAACGCTGTTCCCTTCCCACCGAAGTGGTACCTATTTATCCACTTGCAATTTCTTGCTTTCGAACTGCTAGGTTGGCAGGAGATTTGTCCTCTACAGTGGAGTAAAGTGCAATGTGCTAGGAACCGGCTCTGCCCATTTATAAAAAGTGGGAGACATTTTTCACGCCAATTTTATTCATGCCGTCAAGTAAGGTCCCACACCACTCCTTCCTACCCCACACAGCCAATTTGTGTGTTTTTAAAAAAGTGGGCTTACCTTTTCAGGAACTGCATCCATTATTAGCTCGCCGTACATGTTGATGATCTGAAAGAGTTTATACAGGAATGTTTCATTAGAAAACAGCACAAGGAAGGTTAGGCTGAGAGAACACAAAAGTCGCCCACTGGCTTTGCCGTGGCAAGTGAGTATCTGAACGTGAGTTTCAGCTGATGTTAACGACTATGCCAGTGATGGCAAACCTTTTAGAGACCGAGTGCCCAAACTGCGACCCTAAACCCACTTATTTATAGCAAAGTGCCAACATGGCAATTTAACCTGAATATTTTTACTTAAGAAAAAACAACTCATACCTTAACTTAAGATGATCCAAACATAGTAAGGAAAGCAATCCCAAATGCTTTCATTTACTTAAAATTATTTGGCAGAGAATTTGACACTTTAATGATGGTCTGGGCCTGGCTGGGGTGATGGCACGCGTGCCCACAGGAAGGGCTTTGAGTGCCACCTCTGGCACCCGTGCCATAGGTTCGCCACCACTGGACTATGCCATGCTGGCTCTGATGGTTTATAAACAAGGTAGTTATAACTTCAGTCAACTTCAGATAAAGGTAAAGGTTTCCCTTGCTCGAAAGCTAGTTGAATCCGACTCTAGGGGGCAGTGCTCATCTCCGTTTGCAAGTCAAAGAGCCAGCACTGTCCGAAGACGTTTCCGTGGTCATGCGGCCGGCATGACTAAACACCGAGGCGCACAGAACGCTGTTACCTTCCCACCGAAGCGGTACCTATTTATCTACTTGCATTTTCTTGCTTTCGAACTGCTAGGTTGGCAAGAGCTGGGGCCAGAGACGGGAGCTCACTCCATCATGTGGCACTCGGGTCTCGGTCTGCAGCTCAGTGTCTCAATCTCTGAGCCACCGCGGCCCCCTCAACTTCAGACAGCAGGAGCCAAATAAGCTAAGTGCCTTCACAGATGTTATCCTTACTAACACCCTGTCCTGGATAGCCTAGACTACCTTGATCTCATCAGATCTCGGAAGCTACGCAGGGTCGTCCCTGGTTACTGCTTTGTCAGTTCTAGCCCCATGCTGGTGTGAGCAACCAAGCCTTGTCCTAGCTCATCGTCGACCCAGCGATTCGAAAGCTTCGGCAAGTAGATAAATTGGGGACCACCCGTAAGGGGGTGGGCACACCACTCCCTTTGGGAAGGTGTTAGCTGCCGAGTGTGACTTCTGTGGCATGGCAAGATCAAAAGATGAAAGATCTGTTTCGGCATCCCTGCAGTGGAGCGAGTAGGCCAGGCGGTGGCAGTGTGGCAGCGCGACATCAAGAACCCCTGACGTCATCAGCCAGCCGACAATAATACATGCCGTCGGAACACGACTGATCCAGCCCGCAGATGAATCCTCCGGCCAGCTACAATGTGTGTGTAATTAAAAAGGCTGTATGTTGTCTTCCCTATCCCCCATGAGTATTGTTAGTCCAGCTGTCATGAGTAACTGTAAATCGCTCTGAGCCCACAGATGTGTGGGGAAAAGCGATCAATAAATCGGAATTATTATTATTATTACTACTACTACTACTACTACTACTACTACTACTACTACTACTACTACTACTACTACTACTACTACTACTACTACTACTACTACTACTACTACTACTACTACTACTACTACTACTACTACTACTACTACTACTACTACTACTACTACTACTACTACTACTACTACTACTACTACTACTACTACTACTGTTTGGATGGGAGACCAACCAAAGAAGTCCAAGTTTGCTGTGCAGGAAATGGCAAACCACCTCCGTTTGTCTCTTGCCCTGAAAACTCTATAGGGTCACCACAAATCAGCTGTCACTTGACAGCACTTTCTACTGCATTCCTAACTAACACTGGGTCATAGAGTATTCTCCTTGGGTACAGACAGAGTAATTCCTGGCTTCCAATCACACCTACAAATTTTAACAGGTACTCAGCAAGTGACCTGCTCTTCTGAGCCGAAATGAACCAGAAATGCTTCTCTCCTAACACCCAGGGTTGGATCCAGGCTTTCCACTAACGGAAGGCGGAACTTCCCTGCCTTCTGCTGCAGTGCAGTGACCGCCATGAAATTCTGCTCTTGGGGGACACGGGACCCTCAAGAATGGCACAAGGTACAAAGGGGGGAGGTCCCGCAGAAGAAAGGGGAAACTGGCAGAAGTTACATCTCCCCTTCTGTTAGAGGAAAATTTAGTCATCGGGATCCAACCCCCGGAGAGCAGCAGTTCACACGCTATTACCGAATTTCCACAGATAAAGAGCAGTTGCTATAACTGGAGATGATGCTTGCCCACACAAAACAGGATTTAAATATTGTTTAAGTACACACAGCACGCTCACATCTTCAGAGAATTTCGCTTCTTGTTTTTTGGTAACAGACGCAGGCCACCCTGTAATGCAGCAGACGAGCGTAATAAAGACGCCGTAATTATCGCTTTACGGTTTTGTCTCATTTTACTTTTGCAACTGACTTTGCATTTGCAGGCTTCATTCTCTCATTCTGTTGAGCAAAAATGTTGACACAGTAGGCCTTAATCCTAATAGGATTACATTTTTCAGTTCTGAGACTTCGATCTTCATTCTCTCACTTGCTGCAGTGGTGGGAAAATGGATCTCATTTGGTTCAAATCAAGCCCCTTTCTTAACACCATGACAACCTAAGCAATCTGTGCCCTGTACTAAAACCATATAATCAGTGCCATCATCAGCCAGCAAATGATTTTACTCAGTTTAGATTCTCTAGCTGAGCTACCCAAAAAGAGAATCAACAAGCATTTGTGCAGGCTGCGATACAAACCCAGTTGCAAGGGGGAGGGGAAGGGGGACTCAGGAAAGTAGTAAGTTTCTAGCCCTCGGTGTTCAGAGATTAATCTGAAACACAATGTCAGCAACGAAAGACATGGCCTAATTGGCCAATCGAAACAGCCAGCTGTTATAATCGCCAGCTCTCATGACCTCAAAAATACTGAATCAAGCTTCTTCTAAATTTGTTCTTCAGTCGCACAGTCAAGTCCGACTCTTTGCGACCCCATGGACCAGATCACTCCAGGCCTTCCGGTCTTCCACCGTCCTCTGTACATAGGTATCAGCATTTAGAACAAAGTCCTCTAAAGATCAAGCTCCCCCCCAAAAAAAAATGCATCACCAAAAAATAAAGCATTCTTCACACTGACGGGCTTTGGACTCACAAGTCTGCCCTATTCCTGTACTGTTCCCAGGGGGCAGCGATCTTGAGGCGGGTGCAGCAGGCTACAATGGGAGGAGCTGAGAGGTTCCTTTAGCGAATCACAGAATCACAGAGTTTGAAGGGGCCATACGGGCTCAGTGCAGGGTCAGCCTAGAGATTCCCTGGCAAGTGTTTGTCCAGCTGCTGCTTGAAGACTGCCAGGGAGGGGGAGCTCACCACCTCCCGAGGCAGCTGATTCCACAGTTGCACAACTCTGACTACAAAAAAGTTTTCCCTACTATCCAGCCAGAACCTTCCCGCCTTTAATTTAAACCCATTCTTGCGAGTCCTCTCCTCTGCTGCCAAGAGGAACAGCTCCCTGCCCTCCTCTAAGGGAAAGTCCCCACTGATGGCACTGGTATTTCTGGCCACTGTGTGACACAGAGTGTTGGACTGGATGGGCCTTTGGCCTGATCCAACATTGGCGTCTCTTATGTTCTTATGTTATGTAAAGTCGTTCAAATACGTAAAGGGAGCAATCATGAGGTCTGTGAGGTCTGCTCCGTTTGTATCACACATGCAGACATGAGCTAAAAGCTTATTCCTGCTAAAATATACTGGGGGAAGGGATGCTCTGTATTCTTGGTGCTGGGGGGGGGCAACAGTGGGAGGGCTTCTAGTGTCCTGGCCCCACTGCTGGACCTCCCGATGGCACCGGGTATTTTTGGCCACTGTGTGACAGAGTGTTGGGCTGGATGGGCCATCGGCCTGACCCAACATTGGCTTCTCTTATGTTCTTATGTTCTAACCATAATCTTTTAAATTAACAGCTTGCATGTGGCAGCTCATCTTTCAAAGACCCATGCCTCGGTCACCCGAGCTGAGCAGACCACGTGGCAAAGCACCACTCGACTGACTTACAACTGGAAGGGCAGCGAGATCCAAATCAGTGCCGTCAGTCTACCTACGCAGCTGTTACACGGACAAAAAGCCCAGGACTCCATTGTGGGCAGCTGCAGAGAAGTGCATTGAGGAGGGGGCCAAAGATGCAGGTGAATGTTATGCGGGAGGGGGCGTGGCTCATGGAAAAGCCTCTGCTTTGCATGCAGAAGGTCCCAGGTTCAGCCCCTGGCATCCCCAAAGAAAAGGACCAGGCAGTTAGTGATGTGACAGACCTCTGTCTGGGACCCTGGAGAGCCACTGCCGGGCTGAGGAGAGACCTTGATGGATCAATGGTCTGATTCAGCGTAAGGCAGCTTCATTTGTTCATGTGCTACGAATAAAACTGTACACATAGCAGGGCTTGACAAATCCCAGGCACCTGGTCGCCACGGCACCTAGAAAATTTCATTGTGGCGCCCATTCTTTTTTTTGTCGGAGCAATAATTAGGCAACAGAAGAAGAAGAGGAGATTGGATTTATACCCCGCCCTTCACTCGGAGTCTCAGAGCGGCTTACAAACTCCCTTCCCTTCCCCACAACAAACAACTTGTGAGGTAGCCGGAGCTGAGCGAGCTCTTTGCAGAACTGCTCTTTCAAGAACAGCTCTTATCAGAACTATGGCTTGCCCAAGGTCATCCAGCCAGGTGCAAGTGGAGGAGTGGGGGAATCAAACCCGGTTCTCCCAGATTAGAGTCCGCACACTTAACCACTACAGAGAGCCAGTTTGGTGTAGTGGTTAAGTGTGCGGACTCTAATCTGGGAGAACTGGGTTTGATTCCCCACTCCTCCACTTGCACCTGCTGATGTGACCTTGGGTCAGTCACAAGCTCTGGCACAGCTGTCCTTGAAAAAGAGCAGCCTCTGTGAAGAGCTCTCTCAGCCCCACCTCCCTCACAGGGTGTCTATTGTGGGGAGAGGAAGGGTAAGGAGTTTGTAAGCCGCTCTGAGACACCTTTGGGTAGTGAAGGGCGGGGTATAAATCCAATCTCTTCCTTCTTCTTCTTCTACACCAAACTGGCTCTTACGTAATGCTGAAGGCTGAAATTATGAGTCTGGCTCCTAAATTTTTGGTGCTGGGGGGTGGGCACAGTGGGAGGGCTTCTGGATTTCTGGACCTGCTGGTGGACCTCCTGAAGGCATCTGGGTTTTGTGGCCACCCTGTGTGACGCAGAGTGTGGGACTGGATGGGCCCTTGGCCTGATCCAACAAGGCTTTTCTTATGCTCTTATTTCTGGGTGGGCTTCAAGAACCAAAGAAGATTTATCAAGGTGGTTAAACAGAAATTGTTAGGAAACTTACGTGAACACCCTGGCACTCTGCTGTGATGACAGCCGCCCAACAATTCACTTCTTCCCCACTAGTAATTTTAAGAGGAACATCTTAAATGGGGATTCAGGCAATCTAAGGAATGTTCATACTGAAGGGCACCCTAGTTCAACTCTGCTATTCAATTTATACAACAAAGGCATAAGTAGCAGATGAGTTATAGAGGCTGAGTCATAATTTCCACTGGAAATACTGCATGGAACTAGCCAGCCAACCAGGTCGCTGCATCACAAACGCTGAAACCATGTTCTCTGTCTCTCTCAAGCAGCTTGCAAAGCCTCTGTGTACTCTCACCTGGTCATTTAGCCAGTTCTGACCATCCAGCGTCGTCAGATCATCCATATCTAGCATGTGCTTATTGTAGAAGACCCGGAAACTGCAAGTGGAAGGTTTGGGATGCCTCGTTTGATATTTCATGATTTCCTTCGTGATAAATGGCTTTCTGGAACAGAAGTAAGGCGGCTCAGACAGACGGATAATGCCGAGTTATCCCCCAGCATACCCAAGATAAAAGGTAAAGGTTTCCCTTACTCGAAAGCCAGTCGAATCCTACTCTAGGGTTGCGGTGCTCATCTCCGTTTCAAAGCCGAAGAGCCAGCGCTGTCCGAAGACGGTTCCGTGGTCATGTGGCTGGCATGACGAAACACCAAGGCGCACGGAACGCTGTTCCCTTCCCACTAAAGTGGTACCTATTTATCTACTTGCAATGTCTTGCTTTCGAACTGCTAGGTTGGCAGGAGCTGGAACTAGAGATGGGAGTTCACTCCGTCATGAGGCAACCCGGGTCTCGAACTGCTGAACTACCGACCTTCCACAGCCTGCAGTTCAGGGTCTGAACCACTTGAGCCACCGCAGCTCCTTACCCAAGACACCCAAGATACATTTGCGCATTTAAATGCACAGCTATTGGAATTTGGGATTAAATGACCTGCAGAAATATGACTGTTCCTTTCAGCTTCAAATACGTGTATATATGGCTACCAACCTATGGGAGAAATCTTCCTTAAAGGCTTCCTTTAATCTTCCCATGACGTCCTTTTCACAAAGCGGAATTAAGCTGCCGTATTTCTTCATTACTTCATCTAGGAATCCTTTAAAATACAGCAAGGTTCAAAAGATGCCGTTAACCCGTCCTGTCTCAAGGCGGCTGATGTTCCCGATGGACCGGCTCCCACAACCGGCCCTCCCCATATCAGGAAAAGTAGGTGCAGCACAAAATTAATGTGCGGGATCAAACAGATGACAGCCAATGCAATATAATGACATAACGATATAATATAATGAGAAGATTGGCCTTGAATCTGGGTTCAAATGAACCTTGGAATCCCTTCCTGGAGATACCATCCGCTGAAAGAGCAAACTCACGATAGGATCTATCCATTTTTTTAAAAAAAAATTAAATCGCCCACCCCCATCTCTTCACAAAAGACAGAAGCCTACAGAAGGACACATGCAGGACAAAGACCTAATAAACAGAAGCTGGTGTGACCTGAAAGTATTTCTGAATTCAAAGCCAATGAAAGAGAGAAAATGATTTCCAAGCGTACTGAAGCGCCCGTCTTGATATACCAGCCCCAACAAAAACGAATGGAGGTCATACAGGCATTGTGCCTGATTGCACCCCTGCGGAGCAGTATTTCCAGGCAGTTGCAACAGATTCCAATCAGCACATCATTCATGGGTTGGGGAGGAGCTCACACACTTCTGACATCTGAATAAAAATGGGAGGTTCTATTCACGGGCCGATACAGAAAAGGAAATTCAAAGGCCTGGAGCACAAACTGATTGCAATCTGACTATATTCTTTAAAGACTGGGTGGGAATTGGGGGGGGGGGGAAGCATACAGAATTAATGAATTGCGTGGATGAAGGTTTCATGCTCTAAATGCAGCGGCCCCAAGAGCCGATACCGGTTAAGCTACAGCTCATCCAGCTGAACACGATAGTCAAAAAAGTTATCCCAGTTTATGATACTGAAAAGTGTGAAATTATGCATAATAACAAAAATGCTAAGTCACGCAGTTCTCGCATCTGTCTGTTAATTCTTTTATTTATGGAGCCAGTTTGGTGTAGTGGTTAAGTGCGTGGACTCTAATCTGGGAGAACCGGGTTTGATTCTCCACTAGAGATGTAAAATTTCTGGAAAATTTTGAAGCTCGGGAAAAAACCCGGTTTTTTCGTTTTTTCCGGAAAAAAACGGAAATTTTCGGAAAAATTGAAAAAATGCTACATTAGCATTTCTTTTGTCTTTTCTGGATTGAAAGTCATTCTGTTACTTTAGGAACATAAAATATGACTATGGACATTTTTACTTGGCATGAATTATCACAACTAGCATATTAAAAAGATAGTGTATCCAAACAATTATTACAAACAGAATACCCAACCACGTGCAAAAACAAAACTGAAACCTTTTTCTTTTCTTCTGACAATAGCACCTCCTAAAAGAAGAAATGCATCTTGTTCTTGCATTGGAGAGTTCAGTTTGTAACCTAGGACTTGCTTGTCCTCAGTGCACAGAAATTAGATCAATCTGATACCATATATATATATTTTAGAACTGATTTGGAAAATATTTGAACACCTTGTCTTAAAATATTTTATTCATCATGTTAAAATAAAACTTTCCATAATCAATTTCTTTTCTTTTTTCAATTTTTCCAATTTTTCGGAAAAAAAACAAAAAAGGCTTCAGGAAAAAAACCTGAAAAACCGAGTTTTCCCCGAATTTTTCCGGTTTTTTTCCGGGCCTTCACATCTTTATTCCCCACTCCTCCAGTCGTAGCTGCTGGATGACTTTGGGCAAACCCATAGTTCTGGCCAGGGGGTCGTTTCGTAGAAAAAGAGCTAGGGGAACTCATTAGCATAACTCATTAGCATATGCCACACCCCTGACATCACCGGAAGTGTGTCATAAGGCCACACACCCCGCCCCCAATGTTCCCGGCCGGCGGGAGTGCAAGGAAGCCCCGCGAAGGCCCTCCCTGGCCCCAGGCAGGCAGGGGTGGGGAGAGGCAGGGAGGAAGCAACTTACCCTCCTTCTTCTCCTGCCTCCTCCTGGGTGAATGAGGGCCGGAAGCGGGGCGGCCGGAAGCAGGGGGCGGGGCTTCGTCATGTGCCCCGCCCCCCAAACCTCACCCGGGGGAACTGCGATCCCCCGCGATCCCCCCGAAATGACCTCTGCTGTTAGTCTATTCTCTTTACTGTAACAGAATCCACATGCAGTTCTTACGTAAGGGGGGATCACAACAGCCTGTTGTGTGGTCCTTCTGCCCCACCATCTTTTCTACATTAGACTTCATGTTTCACCTACAGGGTTAAATACAGAGGCCCAAAAGATGTGATCTATGCCTGTTATGTATTGGGACGGGAACATTCCAGGATTATCTACCAGAGACTGGCTGAGCTTGCAGCTCTAGAACAATAGCCCACCAGGACTCTGGAGGTGGCCAATGAGAAACTAATGACATATAAATAGCCTATCGTTGGGAGTTGGGTGTGGTTGGGTGTGGTGTTTGCATGCTATTTAAACAGGGCTGTCGCCCTGGAGTTTTGTCTTGTATCTGCTGAATCACTAATAAATCTGAGCTGATCACGAAGCTTGGGGTCAGACATAAGAACAGAAATTGTTTATATCACTGTTGCCAAACTCAGGCCGTGGGCAGTTTTTCGGGATGAAATGCTATTGAGCTAGAATCCTGAATGCCCTTCTGGGCTCCAGAGTGAAATAAGGAGGAGGAGGAAGAGATTGGATTTATACCCCGCCCTTCACTTAGGAGTCTCAGAGTGGCTTACGACAATCTCCTTTCCCTTCCTCCCCCTACAACAGACACCCTGTGAGGTAGGTGGGGCTCAGAGAGCTCTTTCGAGAACTCCTCTTGAGAGACCAGCTCTGAGAGAACTTGCGACTGGCCCAAGGTCACACCAGCAGCTGCATGTGACGGAATGGGGTATCAAGCCCGGTACTCCCAGATTAGAGTCCGCGCTCCTAACCGCTACATACCAAGTCTTTTCATCGGCTTCCCCCACAGCGCCAGGCATCTCATAGGCTAGCTGGTTATCCTGTGCGTGGACTGGTTACAGCTACAAAGCCACCACAAGACTTTTATATTAGTAAAGCAGGACGATTTTCTAAAGGTAAGCCACACTGAGGAATCTCTACATCACGGGCATCACATACAAACAAACCCTGCATGCTGCAGTACCGATCTGAATAAACTCATAAGGGCCATGCCATGGATTTGGTGGCACACGTAGCTCTGGGGAGCTGGAATACCAATTCTCCTCTGCGTAACGGCCAAAGCAGATGATCGACAGGCCAAAGTGGCTTAAATTCTTCCCTCCCATATTTTCTGACGTGGCCAACATTTCTGGGGTTTTGGAAACAGAGACACGGGGGGGAACAAAAAGGGGGAAAGCGGGAAGGAAAGCTAGATGTGCTATGTGTTATGATCACTTTAGGAAACCACCTGCGAAAGGCTTTTGTATTCTGCAGCAACTCTGTGAGGTATGAAACTCAGATCTGGCACATAGGTTTCTAAACGGCATAGATATGCCTCTGGAAAACATGGGTCACTCAGGTTCCCCAAAAGCAGCTTTGCATGCATATTTCATTTCCCCACTTTTACAGGCCCTCTACAAAAGGCGGTCACAGCACAGTTGGCTTCCTAGACACCAGTATTACTGTTCTAACTCCAGCTCTGACACGTGTACAGTCAAGACACCACAACCAAACAATGTAACTTTAGAAACCATTTACGCCATAGCAGATGAAGGTTGTGGTGTCTATTGTGTTCAGACAAAACCACCCAGTTTACTTCCTCTGAAGGGAGGGATCTGGTCTGAACAGTCTGCATTCAGGGAGCAACTCCTAGATTCCAAGGGATGGATACAAGTTTTAAAAAACGTCACCGTGGATCATGCACAAGGTTTGCTAGCAAGCCATATCTACCTAGGATCAAAGGATCGATTGGTGGAATACGGGCAAGTCGCATGAACGACCCACTCCACCAACTGCTTCTGCACACATGCCCATAAGAATCCTATAAAACGCAAGATGTCAACACCAGAACCAGCTCTGATCTATTCAAGTCAGCACGTTATCAGTTTCTGATCGTTCTCTTTAAAAAGCAAATCTGTTACGTAATAAAAATGGCCACTTCCTTGTTTTTATAATCCATGCTTCTTATTGCAGTACAGAAGAACTAAGTCACCCTTTGTGCATTCTTGGTATTGTCTATTTCCAGACTGTAAGAAAACAGGGAAACGTTCCCAAAAGTAGCTATTCCCTCCATCTCTCTAGCCACATCCCTGCATCAAGATCAGACGCACCCCCAACTGGGATGAGTCATAATGACTAACGTTTCGGAGTGTCGCCACAGGGCACCCTCCGCAACTCGTATCCCACTGAGCTGAAGACAAATCAGCAAGCTATACATTATGGCCAGGCAGGCAGGTGACCAAAACCAGAGGAATGAGCGCCTTATGGGGCCACCACTACATAAGGCTTGGTGGATCGCAAGTTAAGGGCTGCCATGAAGAAACGAGGGCAGACCAGCTGAACTGGCTCCCCAACCCTACTACTTCATACAAGCACCCCGTCTTCACCCCCCGCGAACAAATATAGCAAAGTTCAGAGACCAAAACAAGAGCACCCTACTACTTCATACATAGCACCCCATCTTCACCCCCCGCGAACAAATATAGCAAAGTTCAGAGGCCAAGACAAGGGCGGTTGTGGGAAGGCCTTTGAGCGAAACCTGTAATAAGCATGGAATGAGTATATATACCACAAAGCCACACCGCCAATTGCTCATCGCTGATGCAAGAAGCTCTCTGACTGCTTCTCTTGCCACCCTTTTGGGTCCCTGATTTCTGTCCTGTGCTTTCTCGGCGGGGTTCGTCGAGCGGGCTTTTGCAATACGGGTGATCTAAGAGCTCTGCGCCAAAAACGTCCGCGCTTACGGGCCCTTCTACTTCCATCTGGCTACAGCTGTCCTCGCTCTGGGCCGGCTCCACGGAGACGGGCCCGTTGGCAAAACCGTCTTGCGTCCCCGAGTCTGCCTTGCAGGGCTCCAGGACTATCTCGTCGGTGCCCATGACCGGATGAGAGTCTCCGTCGTCTTGACTCGAAACGGAGATCTCTTTTTCCGACACGGAGATGAAAACGTCACCGGGGCAACCATCGAGCGGGGGCGCCTCCCCCATCTCCTCCTTGTGCACTGCCGCCTCCGCCCCACAAGAGGCTGCTCTAGGCGACTGAGGCACGCAGATCCCAACGATGCCATTTTGGTCTTTGGAGACAAGTTCCTTATGACGGAGGTCACCGCACTGCAACGACACATCCCGCGCGAGGGACGTCTCCGGCAGACGTGTGCGATTCTCCCCGACTAATGGTCCTGGCATGTGATTGTTCATATCTGAGCAGCTGGGCAGGTTCCGGGGAGAGGCACCCTCTGACCTCCAAGAGGGAAATAAGGTACAGGGACTACTCGCAAAGGCCTTTTGGTGGAAGTCCTCTTGTCGGTCCCTGGTTACTTTATCCGCCCAGCTGAGCTTGTTTCTACTCGACTTGCAAGCCTTGCCTCTCCAGAACTTAGAACGACATTTTAGAATTCTAACCCAAAACTTAACCACAGAAAGTTTCTTATACATCATAAATAGAGATCTGCTTTTTAAAGTACACAGCTTAAATTTAGGCCTTCTCCTGCTCGTCAAGGGGCCGCAAATTCCGTTTGGCTCTGGCCCTCGGCAACAGCACTCCCTCCTCGAGTTATTTAGGAGGACGACTCCATCGCTGCCGCCGTTATTGCTCTCCCCGGGACCGTGAGTGAGGCGACCCTCTGGAACCGTTACAGCTGTGCTCCTGCCCTCCGGGCAGTATTGCTTGCCTGGACAGATCTTTGAGTCCGTTTGTGCGCCGCGGTGTCCGTGGAGCAGTGGTTCTCTCCGGAAAGGTTTCCTGCCCAGACCCTCGGCCACTGTAAACGGTTCTCCAGATCTGCACCTGGGAAAAGGACTCCTGGGCACGGCTTCCAGGAAGGTACCGTTTCCAGCGCAGACACAAGTCTCTGCATTTAGGAAGGCTTCAGGAACCCACCTCCTCACGAACGCCCTCGTTCTGCATGGTTCCGCTTGTTTCCAACTGCCCAACGTCCAAGCGGTGCTGGGCTGGCGCCTCCTTTTAAGCAGAGGGAGATGCTTCCTCCGGAAGCAGTATCGCCTCAGCCCCCAGAACCCCGCGGTCCATTTTCGGCAACAGGTCAGCAACCGACTTCTCCGCTGTAAGTTTCTCCTATGCTCTCTCATTTTTCTGCTGCATCGTGATCTTCGGGTGCAGCTGCAACAGAAAGAAAAAGAGACGGGCATTACAGTTCGGACAACACACAAGATTAAAGGCAGGACAAGCCTCCAGCGACGCAGCTGACTCGAAACCACAGATCCGATGTGCAGAAGGTTTCTGAAGGGAGGTGCAGCCAGACGCCAGGCGTCGACAGCTTCTTCCTTGAACCTTATAAGTGCCCTGCTTGAACAGGCCAGGACAAACACCACCCCCTCCCAGTAAGCGCAATGAAAGAAGCTGAGCACCTCATTCTCTGGTATGAGCTAGTCCCAAGGGCACCTAACATGGCTGCAAGTGGAATTAACACATGGAATTCACTGCTGCAGGAAGTGGCTGTGGCTACAGGCACAGACACCTTCAAGAGGGGACTGGATAAACAGGTGGAGCAGAGGTCCATCAGTGGCTATTAGCCACAAGGTATAGATGGAACACTCTGTCAGGGGCAGCAGTGCTCTGCATCCTTGGTGCTTGAGGGGGCAACAGTGGGAGGGCTTCAGGAGTCCTGGCCCTGCTGGTGGACCTCGTGATGGCACCTGGGTTTTTGGCCACTGTGTGACACGGAGTGTTGGCCTGGACAGGTCATTGGCCTGATCCAACATGGCTTCTCTTACATTCTTATATGGAGTAGAGATCCCTCAATAGCTATTAGCCACAAGGTATAGATAGGAACACTCTGTCTGGGGCAGTGATGCTCTGCATCTTTGGTGCTTGAGGGGGCAACAGTGGGAGGGCTTCAGGAGTCCTGGCCCTGCTGGTGGACTTCGTGATGGCACCCGGGTTTTTGGCCATTGTGTGACACGGCGTGTTGGACTGGACAGGTCATTGGCCTGATCCAACATGGCTTCTCTTACATTCTTATATGGAGCAGAGGTCCCTCAATGGCTATTAGCCACAAGGTATAGATAGGAACACTCTGTCTGGGGCAGTGATGCTCTGCATCTTTGGTGCTTGAGGGGGCAACAGTGGGAGGGCTTCTGGACCTCCTGAGGGTACCTGGGTTTTGGCCATTGTGTGACACAGAATGTTGGACTGGGTGGGCCACTGGCCTGATCCAACGCGGCTTCTCTTATGTTCTTAAGTGGGAGGTTCAGGTTTAGCCTCTTGACCTCTAATTTGTCATCTTGCCGCTCCACCCCCCTGGTGCTTCCCCATACTCATATCAGTATGGCTCCTGCACCACAGGACTATAGTGGTGGAAAGTGCCAACAAGCTGCAGCCAACCTGTAGGGTCTTCAAGGCATGAGACGTTCAGAGGCGGTTTGCCACTGCCTGCCTCTGTGTCATGACACTTGACTTCCTTGGCAGTCTCCCATCCAAATACTAACCGGGACCCACCATGCTTAGCTTCCAAGATCTGACAAAATCAGGGTAGCCTGGACCATCCAGCTCAGGGCATTATGGGACTATGGCGTACTACATATTCCTGCCGAAAGGAATGGAGAGTCCACAGGGCACAGCTTGAGAAAAAAGGAGTTCTGGGAAATAAGGTACTTTTCCTCAAGGACAGGCAGACAGCTTGAAACACAAGCCAGTTCAAGCTTCTCTTCTTGCATCAACTCGGAGGCAGCCTGAATGCAAGCGATTGCTTTCACTAATGGTCCTACCCTGCACTCAGGGAACAGAGGCCTCTCTCGTAAAGTTACCAAGAACATGATGTACTCTGAACACTTGGAACACACTATACAAGTGCTTAAGCTTAAAATCTTACTTTCCCGTCACTTTGCAACAGGGTAGAAAGCACTGTGCTGGAGCCCACTCACAGCTCGGTCTACCAAACAAAGTGGTTGACATATGAGAAAGCAATAAATGAAGAACAAAGTGAATGTGACTGAAATTCACATTCAAAAAGAGAAACATTTAAGTTCGAGCATTTAAAAACAAGTCGGACGTACAGATTTTAGTGTCAAATTATTGGTGCGACGCCTAGACCAGGAGTACTTTTCTCACATCGGAGAAGAATGGCCAGGAGTCGTGAAGCTTTCTAGTTTCAAGAACAGGTAGATCTGAGTCCAGTGGCAATTTCAGAGAAGAAGAAGAAGAAGAAGAAAAGATTGGATTTATACCCTGCCCTTCACTACCCAAAGGAGTCTCAGAGCGGCTTACTAACTCCTTTCCCTTCCCCTCCCCACAACAGACACCCTGTGAGGTAGGTGGGGCTGAGAGAGCTCTTGACAGAAACTGCTCTTTTTCAAGAACAGCTCTTATCAGAACTACGGCTTGCCCAAGGTCATCCAGCAGCTGCGAGTGGAGGAGTGGGAATCACACCCGGTTCTCCCAGATTAGAGTCCGCGCGCTTAACCACTACACCAAACTGGTGGGGAATCAAAGCCGGTTCTCCCAGATTAGACTCCGTACACTTAACCACTACACCAACTGACCAACAAGGGTTTCAGGGTATAATCTTTCGAGTGTCAAAACTCCCTTTGTCCAACACTTCGATTCTCGAAACATTGTACCCTGAAACTCTTGCTGGTCTCCAAGGTCCTACTAAACTCAAATTGTACTAGTTAAGAAAAAAATGCTGTTAAGTGACCACGCCAGAGAGGAGAGAATGGAGAGTATCAGTTTACTTCCCACCATTAGAAAAGATACACATTTATCTGCTATTCTGACATTTATTGCTTTACAACTGTTGACCTTATAACCTTAGCTTGTTATTTAGTTTTCTCTTTGCTCATCCTCATCCTGTTTACATGTTCATTTGCTGTTCAGTCCCTGTCTATAAGTTTGAACCTGACCTACCATTCCAATGTACTTGGAAAAGTGTGCATTGCACATGAAAGCTCATACCTTGGAAAAAAAAACTTTGTTGGTCTTAAAGGTGCCACTGCACACTAAATTTGTTCCAGTTCTACCGCAGACCAACATGGCTGCCCTCTGAAACTGGTTTCGAGAAGGTTTCCCCCACCCCCACAAAGGACAGTAACCAATTAAAAAACGTTCCCCAGTTCTTCTGCAAACGGGGGTCAGAGGTACGCTTCCCAACCTGCCTTATGAAAACGATCCCTTTCAATTAGCCCAGCTGTAAATATCATCAACCCACCAGACCAGACCATTAAAGCAGGGGTGTCGAACTCATTTGTTATGAGGGCTGGATCTGACACAAATGAGACTTTGTCCGGCCAGGCCATGTGTGTCATAAAATGTAATGCCAGGAAGCGGAGAAATAAACTTTATAAAGGACACAAACACAAAGATGCTTAAAACGTTAGCTCTGTAAGCTGCAAACCTACTTTTGATTTATTGATATTCACCACAGAAATCTCATGCTCAGAGTTGTGAGTCTAGGACCCAGGTTAAAACATGAAATGGCTGAGTGATTTAAGAAAGTCTGGCAAAGCGAGGTGTGATGCAGCAGAACTGGAAGCAGGAGATGGCCAGTTCCACTGCGGGCCTGATGGAAGCCCTCTGGGGGCCTGATTCGGCCCCTGGGCTGCATGTTTGACACCCCTGTATTAAAGCCTCCAAGGACAGAAAAACAAATAGGAATTGTCTGGTATCCTAATGACCAACAAATTTTTATACCAGAGTAGGCACCTGCATTATTTAATTTTATACATTCTATAATCATTCTTAGACCTCTGGTACATAGTACCCTCTTTTTACTGTCATTTAGAGGTTTCCTTCCTCTAAGCTCTGTACACATTGCACATTTTAGTTACTCTACTTTTGCTTAGAAATGTGAAGGCCCGGAAAAAAACTGGAAAAATGTGTGGGGGGGAAACGTTTTTTCCCCCAAAGCCTTTTTTGTTTTTTTCCGAAAAATTGGAAAAATTGAAAAAAAAAATGATTATGGAATATTTTATTTTAACATGATGAATAAAATAGTTTAAGACAAGGTGTTCAAATATTTTCCAAATCATTTCTAAAAAATATGTATGGTATCAGATTGATCTAATTTTTGTGTACTGAGGACAAGCAAGTCCTAGGTTACAAACTGAACTCTCCAATGCAAGAACAAGATGCATTTCTTCCTTTAGGAGGTGCTACTGTCACAAGAAAAGTAAAAGATTTCAGTTTTGTTTTTGCATGTGGGTGGGTATTCTGTTGGTAATAATTGTTTGGATACACTATACTTTTAATATGCTAGTTGTGATAATCTCATGCCAAGTAAAAATGTACATAGTCATATTTTATGTTCTGGAAAAGAAAGAAGTGCTAATATTGCATTTTTTTTCAATTTTTCTGAAAATTTCAAAAATTTTCCAGGGGGGAAAGGGGGGGGGGGAAGGGTTTTTTTCCGAGCTTCAAAATTTCCGGAAATTTTACATCTCTAGTTTTGCTAAACTCAATGAGTTGCCCTGAAGGTGGCGGAAAGCACTGCCAAGCCGCAGCCGACTTACAAACACCCCTATAGGGTTTTCAAGGGAAGAGATGGACAGAAACAATTGACTGTTGCCTGCCTCTGCACAGGAAGCTTGAACTTCCTTGAAGGTCTCCCACCCAAGTACTAACCGAGGCCACTGCTGCTTAGCTTCCGAGATCTGATGAGATCGGGTTAGCCCGGGCCGTCCCGCTCAGGGCCCAGTTCCAACAGTGACTGCAAAAGCAAAATTCATGTGACGCTCCCTATGAAGGCCAACCAAAAGTGCCCATGCAGGTGCAAGCTGTTCTCCAGAAATATTCATCAGGCTGGATGTTTACCCCAAGGGGAAGGGGGTAGCCATGACCTTGAGGTTCATCTCTGGGAAAGTCAGGCAAACTTAGGGAAGCGCTGGGCTACAGAGCACAGTTGGCATCTAGTACCTTGTAGGCCAACTCCTGCCAACCTAGTAGTTTGAAAGCAAGAAATTGCAAGTAGATAAATAGGTACCGCAACCCTAGAGTCGGATTCGACTGGCTTTCGAGCAAGGGAACCTTTACCTTTACCTTGTAGGCCTTGTAAGAAGGCAGCCGTGAGAAAAATGGCACATTGCCACCTGAGAATAATAAAAACCACTGGCTAATCAAGCATCTAAAAGGCGCTGCGGTGGCTCAAGT